AAAGGATGATGGCGACGACGGTGATGATGATGATGATGCTGATGGTGGTGATGATTCCGATGCTGCTGATGATGACGATGCTGATGATGCTGCTGCTGATGATGATGCTGACAATGATGAAGATGATGCTGATGACGATTCCGCTGATGCTGATGATGATGCTGATGCTTATGCTGATTATGCTGACATGCGGATACTGATTCTGACTTTGGTGTTGATTGTGATGCTGCTGATGCTGATGCTCATGCTCAATATTATGATGCTGATGCTGATGACGATGGTGCTGCTGATGATGATGATGATGATGATGACCACGATGATGATGATCATGCTGCTGATGATGATGATGACGATAATGCTGACGATGATGCTGATTGTGGTCGTGGTGATGATGATGATGCGGATGATTGTGGTGGTGGTGACGATGATGATGGCGATGAAATTGAAGATGATGATGATGATGATGATGATGCTGATGCTGATGCAGATGCTGATGCTGATGCTGATGACGATGGTGATGATGACGATTATGATGATGATGCTTATGATGACGATGCTGACGATGCTGATGATGCTGCTGATGATGATGATGATGATGATGATGATGGTGGTGGTAATGATGATGATGATGATGATGATGATGATGATGATGATGATGATGATGATGATGATGATGATGATGATGATGATGATGATGATGATGATAATGATGATGATGATGATGATGATGCTGATGATGATGATGATGATGATGATGATGATGATGATGATGATGATGATGATGCTGATGATGATGATGATGATGATGATGATTGGTGGGGTGTCTGGGGGCTGTCGTGAGGCTTTTTTTGTGCCGTCTTGGGTCGTAGAAGGGCCGTTCAAGGATGTCTTGGGTCCCGCGGGATGCCTTCTTGGGTCGTTTTGGGGCCGTCTTGGTTGCATCTCGGGCCATCGTGGAGCCCTCTTGGGCCATCTTGGGACCCTCTTGGGGGCCTCTCGGGCCGTCTTGGGGCCGTCTTTGGACCGTCTTTATTGAGCTGGCGGAAGCCCGAACAGGTTAGAATGCGAACCTCATTCAGCAACCGACAGGAATTAGTGATTTTGGCTTCTTCGGGCCCTGTTGGAAGTCCTTTTGTTGCCCCTTTAGGCCCTCTTCGAGGTATCTTGTGCCGTCTTGAGACTATGTTCGGCCGCCCTGGCGCCAGCCTGGGCCGTCGTCGAGGCATCTTGGGCCAACTTGATGCTTTTGGTTGCCTGCATTGGCAGTCTTGGAAGCTCGAGAGCGGACTCATCGTTTTTATTGCACCTGAGAGGAGCCCCAATCAGTGGATGGTTTGAAATTCGATCGATAAATAGATCGATAAGGAGATCGACCGGGAACCTGGGAACCCGGGAACCCGGAACCCACCGCAATCGGATTGGAACCGATGACCAGGAACCTGGGAACCCAGAACCGGGAAGTTGGGAACCCAGCAGGCCGCCAACATCGGCGGGAAATTCTCGCCAAATCTTTCAATTCTTTACGCTTCGCGTATCCCCACCAGCCCATCTCACAACAGCAACTCTTGCGAAGCATGCCGACAGTCGTGTTTTTCAGGCGTGTGTCCGCTTGCCCCCGCATATCTCCCCTGTTCCTTCTTCCTCCCGCCTCCTTGTACATCCTCCTTGTGGGGGGAGCGGGAGAAGGACGAGGCCATGGAGGAGGGAGAGAAAGCTCTCGTCCTGGTCTGAGTCGTTCGGGCCCTTCTTCCTGGTGTGAGTCGTTCGGGCTCTTCGTGGTGTGAGTCGTTCGGGCTCTTCGTCCTGGTGTGAGTCGTTCGGGCTTCTCGTGGTGTGAGTTGTTCGGGCCCCTCGTCCTGGTGTGAGTCGTTCGGGCCCCTCCTCCTGGTGTGACTCGTTCGGGCTCCTCGTGGTGTGAGTCGTTCGGGGCCCTCGTCGTGGTGTGAGTCGTTCGGGCTCCTCGTGGTGTGAGTCGTTCGGGCGCCTCGTCCTGGTGTGAGTCGTTCGGGCCCCTCCTTCTGGTGTGAGTCGTTCGGGCTCTTCGTGGTGTGAGTCGTTCGGGCCCCTCGTCCTGGTGTGAGTCGTTCGGGCTCCTCGTGGCGTGAGGCGTTCGGGCACCTCGTCCCCTTTTGGGGCGTCTTGGGGGCCTCTTGGCGGCCCCAGGGGCTTCTAGGAGCGTCTTGGGTGCCTTGGGGGAGCCTCTTCGGGCCTCTCGGGAGCCTTTTGGAGGCCGTTTGGGGCGTCTTGGGGGCCTCTTGGCGGCCCCAGGGGCTTCCAGGAGCGTCTTGGGTGCCTCGGGGGAGCCTCTTGGGGCCTCTTGGGGGCCTCTTGGGGGCCTCTTGGGGGCCTCTTGGAGGCCTCTTGGGGGCCTCCTGGGGGCCTCTTGGGGCCATCTTGGGGCCTCTTGGTGCCTCCTGGGCGCTTCTTGGGGCCATCTTGGAGGAAATCGATCAATGAAGAGGGGAGCTTTAATGAGCGCTGCCCCCTCAGAAGGGCAAAATGAGGCCAACACCTTCGTAAAATCAATGATTTTGCCTTAAAGGAAGAGGGGAGCTTTAATGAGCGCTGCCCCCTCAGAAGGCCAGAATGGGGCCAAAACCGTAGTAAAATCAGTGATTTTGGCTTCAAAGAAGAGGAGAGGGTTTTTTCTCGGCCCCCCCGTCGGGGGCAGAATCCTCGTGAGGGGTGTCGTTTTTTAGCCCTCCCAGGAGTCGAAATTGACCCCCCTGACGACCCGCGGAACGCCCTCTCCAGGCCCAGGGGGAGGGGGTAGGGGGAGGGGTAAACCCCTCCCCGAAGGGGAAGAAGGGGGGTTGAGAACAGAGAGAGCTCGCTAAACCACTCACGCCCAAAGGGCTGGTGGGATTTCCGCTAGGACCCCTTCAGTGCAAGCACTGATTCGGGAACTAAAGGGGTGTCTTGGCTTGGGTTCGCACGAGGCCCCCCGTATCTCGGGGATAATCAGGGGGGGGGGTGCCTGGTGCCCATCCCGCGCCGTGCTCCAGGAAGCTCCTGCTCAGGAGCTTCTGCTCGGTTGCCACTGGGCGAGCGGCACTGGCTGCACGGCCGACCAGCTCGAGCGCGCCCAGGTCTCGTTTTCAAGGAGGGATCGTGGCCTCGGGGGCGCGGATCCACCGTGCTCTGCGATGGGCCGTGGCTTCGGGAGGGGCGGCGGTGCCAATCGGGGGTCCGCGGGTCGAGGTTGGGGCCCCCGTTGTGAGAGTGCAGGAGCCCCGCCGGCCAGGACCTGGCCACGCGGCCGCGCACGCGGTGGCGGACGAGGGGGGCGGCGGCCTCGGGAGCGCGAGCGCGTACAGTGGGGGCCCACGCCAAGCAACCCCCTGCTTGCCTCCAGGGTGCCCTGGGTTTCCTGGGTTTCGATGTGTTTGCTACGGGAAGCGCGACGTCTCCACACCAAGAATGAGTGGACGTCCTGGGGTCTCGAGGGGGCGAGGACGACGAGGGCGACGAGGGCGACGAGGGCGACGAGGACGACGACGAGGACGACGAGGACGAGGAGGACGAGGAGGACGACGAGGACGAGGATGACGACGAGGACGAGGAGGACGACGAGGACGACGACGACGACGAGGACGATGTTGACGAGGAGGACGACGAGGACAACGTGGACGACGAGGACGACGAGGACGACGAGGACGAGGACGCTTGCAGGGGGTTGTGGCACGAGGCTCGGGAGGCCGTCGTGTGCTCCGCACGGGGTGCTCTGGTCTTGGGGGCGCGAGGGCCTGGTGCTTTGCGAGGGACTGTGGCTTCCGGGAGCGTGAGAGTTCGCTTTCTCGTCCATCCCCGCCATTGTCTCTCCCCTCCACTTATGATGTTCCAACCTACTTGAGCCTTGGTCACCAGAAAGAGTTTTGAGCACCAACAATGTACCGAAACTCGACGGTTTTCATGTGTCGGGCCCTGGGAGACACTCGTCCGACACTGTTTCGACACTGTTTCGACACTTTTCCGGGTGCTCGAAATTATTTAATCGCTTCGCTCATTCCGCCGGCCCTGGAGCGCTATTTGGGGCCTCTTGGGGCCGTCTTGGGGGCCTCTTGTGAGCTTCTTGGGGCTCCTTGGCGGCGTCTTGGGCTCCCCTGGGGTCTCTTAGGGGGCTCTTGGGGGCCCCTTGGGGCGGGAGGGGGGGTAGTCGATTGCAGCCCCCCTCGGAGGCCACGATCCTCGTGAGGGGTGGCGAAAAATAGCCTCCCCCCTGGGGATCGCCCGGGGGTCAGCCGGGGATGGGCCGGGGTACTTTTCGTCCGGGGGCCCCCAGGGGCCGCCCCGCGCGCGCGAACTAGAAATATTGTTAAGTAGTTACCGGAGATCTTAGCACGCCTCTGGCCTGTTGGGCCGGCGAATTTCTGGGTTGTGGTCTTGAAGTACGATGGGAGCAACATAACCCTCCACCTTGTTCCCCTCTTTATCTCCACAACTCCGCATTACGAATGTTACTCTCCTTTCTCTCCGGACTCCGTCCAGAAAGTAGCCAGTTCTCTCCGCGTAAACGTTTTTGTTGGTCTGTCTTAGCGTAGGCCTGATTTTCGGATCGGCGCTTTGCTCTCGTCATTCAGACTGGCGCTCTCGACCCGTCGTGGACCACAGTCTGGATCCAATTCCTCTTTCATCGCTGTCGCCCCCCCCATTTCCCCACCGCCGCCTTCCCCTGGTCCTCCTTCCACTCCAGTTCCCGCTGCTGCTTTTCGTCCTCGTCCTTCTCCTTCCTCCTTCCACATCCTCCTCCTCTTCCTCCTGCTCGTCCTCCTTCGCACCCGTCACCACCTCCTCCTACGTATGCAGCTCCCCTTGTCCGATTGCGTATAGCACGATGGTGTCCTTTTGTTGGAGTTCCAGGTCGGCTTTGGCACGCGTATGTGGATAGCGGGAATTAATGCAGTGGGAAGGGATGGGAGGGAGGGAGAGGATGTTCGATGTGGCGTGATCGCACCTAGCTTGGCTAATTAGCTCCCCTCTCCCTCCCCGCAACACTCCAGGACTGTGAAGCGGACTGCGTCAAGGACAACCTGTCCTACTCTTGCCAGGACCGCATCGTCTGGGCCAGGTGGAACTTGTACAAGGAGGAGCCCAGTCTTGTGCATTTCACCTGGGCGGCTAAAGCTATACGTATGTATGCATGCATGCATGTATGTATTCATGAATGAATAAATGTGTGTACGTGTAGGTATGTGCATGCAGGTATGACCATATGTATGTACGACTGTACGTATGTACGCATATGTATGTATGTGTATATGTGTGTATGTTTATGCACGTATGTATGCATACATGTATGTATGTATGTATGCTTGCATGCATGCACGCATGCATATATGTATGCATTCATTGATTTATGCAGATATGTGTGAGTATGTGTATGTGTATGTGTGTATGTATGTATGCATGCACGTATGCATCTGTGCATGCATGCACGTATGCATGTATGTATGAACGTTTGCATGCATGCAAACATGCATGCATGCATGTATGTCTGTCTGTCTGTCTGTCTGTCTGTATGTATGTATGTATGTATGGAGGTACGTATGTATGTATGTCTGTCTGTCTGTCTGTCTGTCTGTCTGTCTGTCTGTCTGTCTGTCTGTCTGTCTGTCTGTCTGTATGTATGTATGTATGTATGTATGTATGTATGTATGTATGTAGTTATGTCTGTATGTAAATATGTCTGTCTGTCTGTCCGTCTGTCTGTCTGTCTGTCTGTATGCATGTATGTATGAATTAATGTATGTGCGTGTGCATGCATGTATGTATGTATGCATGCATGCATGCATGCATGCATGCATGTATGTCTGTGCGTATGTATGTATATATATGTATGTATGCATGTATGCATGTATGCATGTATGCATGTATGCATGTATACATGTATGCATGTATGCATGTATGTATGTATATATGTATGTATGTGTGTGTGTATGTATGCATGTATGTGTGTATGTGTGTATGTGTGCATGCATGCATGCATGCATGCAGGCAGGCAGGCAGGCATGCATGCATGCATGCATGCATGCATGCATGCAGGAAGGCAGGCAGGCAGGCAGGCAGGCAGGCAGGTAGGTAGGTAGGTATGTATGTATGTATGTATGTATGTATGTATGTGAAGAGCGCGTTCTGTGGTCGCTTGGAGGGGGGGGGTTGGAACCGGACCGCCCCAATCCCCCCCCTGCCCCCCCCCCTGGATGGAGGGGGAGGGGGTTCGAACCCCCACCCCATTTCCCGTGACGGAGAGGGGGGGTTTCGAACCCCCTCCCGCCCGCTTCCCCTCTCCTCGGGCCGGCGCTGCGCTTGGGTCGGCGGCGGCAGGCGACAGCGGCGGACACGACGACTTCCATTTCTTGGCCAACGCCGGCGCCTGCGGCGGCGGGCGGCGGTGGCGGGGAGCGTCGACGAGGACGACGGTGGTGGTGGTGGTGGGTTGTGGTGGTTGTTGTGGTGATGGTGGTGTGGTGGTTTGTTGTGGTGGCGGTGGTTGTGGCGGTGGGTGGTGGTGGTGGTGGTGGTGGTTTGGTGGTGGTGTGGTGGTGGATTGTGGTGGTGGTGGTTGCGGGTTGTGGTGGTGGTGGTGGTGGTTTGGTGGTAGTGTGGTATTGGTTTGTTGTAGTGGTGGTGGTGGGTTGTGGTTGTGGCGGTGGTTTGAGGAGGTGGTGCTTGTGGTGGTGGTGGTGGCCGTGGTGGTGGTGGTGGTGGTGGTGGTGTGGTGGTTGGTGGCGGTGGTGGTGGGTTGTGCTGCTGGTAGTGGTGGTGGTTGTGGCGGTGGTGGTGGTGGTGGTGGTGTGGTAGATTGTGGTGGTGGTGGTGGTGGTAGTGGTGGTGGGTTTTTGGGTGGTGGTGGTGGTGATGGTGAGTTGTGGTGGTGGTGGTGGTTGTGGTGGTGTGGTGGTGGTTTGTGGTGGTGGTGGTGGTGGTGGGTTGTGGGTGGCGGTGGTTTGTGGACGTTTGTTGTGGTGGTGGTGGCGGTGGTGGTGGTGGTGTGGTGGTTTGTGGCGGTGGCGGTGGGTTGTGCTGCTGGTAGTGGTGGTGGTTGTGGCAGTGGTGGTGGTTGTGGTGGTGGTGTGGTAGATTGTGGTGGTGGGGGGAGTGGCGGTGGGTGTTTGTGGTGGTGGTGGTGGTGGTGATGGTGAGTTGCGGTGGTGGTTGTGGTGGTGGTGGTGGCTGTGGTAGTGGTTGTGGTGGTTGTGTGGTGCTGTTGGTGGTGGTGGTGGAGGGTTGAGGCGGTGGTGGTGGTGGCGGTGGTGGTGGTAGTGGTGATATTCGTCGCTGCGTCCAGTAGGAGCCCCGCCCACAGCCCCCTCCGCCACGAACGTTTTCTTCCGCGTCGCACGGCCCCCACCGTCCCGCCACCACGGTCGTTCTCCCCTCCCCGCCCGCCCAGTGCACCCCGCCCCCCCTCCGCTCCGACCATTTTATTTCGGCGTCGCACCGCCCCCGCCGTCCCGCCCCCCCGAGACTTCTCCGATTTCTCATCCCCTCTCTCCGCCCCTTTCCTCCTCCTCCTTCTCCTCTTCTTCTTCCTCCTCCTCTTCCTCCTCCTACTCCTCTTCCTCCTCCTCCTCCTCTTCCTCCTTCCCCCTCCGTTTTGTGCAAGAGCCATGGCACGCGTGCCACTTGAAACGTCCCCCCCTCAGCAGCCCCACAAATTGCCTCTTGGAGCGCTCTTGGCGCGCTCCTGGGCGCTCTTGGGGCGCTCTTGGGCCTCTATTGGGCCCTCTTGGGCCTCTCTTGGGGCCCTCTTGGGCCATCTTGGGGCCATCTTGAGGCCTTGGAAGACCATGGACAACACAAAGGAGAGAAAGCGACATTCGCCCGCCCAGCCCAGGCGTGCGCGGACTCGCTGTTGGGGGCCCACTGCGCCGATCGATCGACGATGCAGCGAGCGCCGATCTCGGTTCGAGGTTCCCCCCTCTCAGCCGGTTCCCCCATGCGCTTCGGGTCGGGTCCTGCCTCTGGCCGCCGTTCGGGACGATCCGGGCACCCCTGGAACGCTCGCCGCGAGGCACAGCCGACGGAAGCCATCCCGAGGCTGGAACATCGACGAGAACTGACGATCTCGTCGGAAATCCTCGAATCTCGAAGCTTGGATGTCCCCCCTCCACTGCCCCCCCCTCGGCCCGTGAGGAGGACGACGCCTGCGCACACGCGCACGAGCTGGTGCTGAGTGAGTGCCCAGACTGCGCAGGGTGCTCCATGCTGAGCGCGTGCCCGGGCGAGCCCACGCCGGCGCCGTTGCCGCCGACGAAGACGTCCACGACCACGACGGTGCCCCAGCCCTTCTCAGTGCGGGTGTTGCTAGAAGTGCCCCGGGCCCAAGGTGCCGCCAGGCTTTACATGGAGGCCCCCACGGCCTCCAGAGCACCCCTCACGAGGCCCAGGGGGCTGCAGGGGCTCCAAATTGGACCGAAGAGCTCGGGGTACCTTGGGCCAGGGGCACCTTCTGGCAACCCCCGATCACTGGGGCTGCATTCAACGGCTCCTTCCTCAATGAGCCGTTGCTGCGTTGCTGCGCCCTTCTGGGCTGCTTGCGGCCTGTCGGTGTCGGTCTGTCTCGGTTTCGCTGTAGGCTCAGCAGTTTTCGGTTGTGCCGTCGCCGTCGACGCCGATGCATCGCCGACGTGGCACGATTTAGAGCCCGAGCTTTTTCACTGCAGCGTCGCCGATGCGTCGGCGTTGCGATGCGACCTTGGGGAGCAGTCAATTCCAGCCACATTTGCGAAGCCTCCAGGTGCCCACGACGACATCGCAGGCGCCCACGACCACGACAAAGGCGCCGCCAGCGCTTTGCGGGGTCTGGTCGCTGTGGCCGATGACGGTTCGCCGATGCGTCGGCGTTGCGATGCGATCTTGTGGCCCAGTCGATTCCAGCCACATTTGTGAGGCCCTCAGGTGCCCACGACGACATCGCGGGCGCCCACGACCACGGCAAAGGCGCCGCCAGCGCTTTGCGGGGTTTGGTCACGGGGGCTGGTGACGGTCTGTTTTTGTCTTTTCGGCGGGAGGGTTCAAGCAGTGCCGTTTCGAGTCACATTAGGCCCCCGCTGGTCAGTCCTGCTTCCTCTTGCCGTTTCCTCTCCCGGGAATCACTCCTTCTCTCTCCTCTCTTCCTCCCTTCCCCTGTTGTCCGTAGTCATGTTGGCTCAAGTCCGTAGTGTTTCGCTCAGGACTTGAGATTCTGGCGTGGGGGAGGCGCGGCCCCCGACCGCTCTCGCGTCTCGCGAGTGGCCTGCCCAGGCCTGGAGGCGCAGCTGTATACTGTGTACTGTACGCGGGTTCCCCGCCTGAACACAGTACGATTTCTTTTTCACTCTCGAGTGCGGAAGGCCCATGGCGCCTTCTCATGCTTCTCAAGGCGGTGCGCCGCTCTCGGGTCACAAGCAGAGACGCCAGGCGCGGGCCGATCGCATCAGACTGTCGACAGGTGGTGAAACAGAGCGGATCTCGATCATTGTTCGCAATGCAAGCACCCCAAGGCGTCAGCATTTGCAGGGATGCAGCAGGCCAGCCACTCGCTCTGTGTCGGCGCTTAAAGCCCCAGCGCGGCCCGACCCCAAACTCACTGCCGAGCTCAAGAGGTTGCGCGATGAAGTTACACAGCTACGGAAGAAAAGGGGTCGCAACCAAACCCGACGGCGACGCCATGGATATCGACGAGGGCAAATACAGCGACGCAGACTTACGCAAGGAACTCGTGGCAGTCACCGAGAAACTGTAGAAAGTTGCAGATTTGGAAGCCCCTGAGTTCGATAAGTTGCGGGAGAAGTTGCGATCGCGTCAGACCACCTTGCGAGGTCAGATCACTCGCGGCAAGTCTCTGGACACGCGGCTCAAATAAATGTCCTTTCAGCACGCGAAGTTTGTCAAAAAGCGGGAGCGCCAGACCGAAGTGGTCGAGGAGCTCAAGCAGGTGGCGGCAGAAGCGCAGAAGGCTGTGGAGGGCGCGGCCAAGGCGCTTCAGGCCACAGCCACGGAAAAAATCACGGAGTTGGAAGCCGAGCGGTGTCAGTTGGTGGCTGGCGCGCCACGGGCCCTTGAGAAGCCCATTGACGACGGCGCACAGGGGCTCGAGCAGCTCCTTGCCAGCAACCTCACGGTCGAGAAGTGCGGCGAGTTGCTCGAGGGCTTTGGTGGCAAGCCGGCTTTGGCGCAAGAGCTGCACGAGTGCTTGGCTGAGGCGAAGGCGGCGGAGGAACTGCGCAGTGCTCAGCAGCGCCGCGCTACCGAGGATGAGGCGAGGCAGCGGCGGCAGCAGCAGCGGCAGGGCGCTGATCAGGCCGCTCAGGCTGCTGCAGCTGCGACGGCTGAGCGCTGGCTGCGCTTGGAGCAAGCCATCCCGTCGGAGGCGGGCGATCCAGAGGCGCCGCGAGAGATCTTCCGCTCGGTCGAGCAGCAGGTGCCAGATGATGGAGTTGAATTGCGTGAAGCAGCCAAGAGGGCGGGTGCCATGTTGTCGTCGTTCGCGAAGCGGCACAAGGCGGCGTAGTTGGCAGTTGGCGTTGATTGGTATGTATGGGTGCTTGTTCTTTTTTGTCGGCATCATGACGCGCATTGCTACTGTCGACGCTACTTCGTTCAACCCGCTTGCTAAGACGTTCGAGGCCGATGCTCCTGTGCGAGGAGATGAGCAGCCTATCATGTGCGCGCAGGAACCTCACATGGCGTCACGGCTGCGAAGATGGGATCATTTCAAGGGCGCATGCGTGCGGTCGGCTACCGCGGTGCGCGGGCCCCAGCCAAGGAGACTGGCGGCGTGGCACAAGCGGCCGGTGCGTTTCATCGCCGTGTCTGCTCCCCGCGGCGCCCGCCCAGCGGCCTTGTCCCGCGCAGTGCGCCGCTCGGGCCTCTCCTTTTGCCGCGTGGCTGCCGCGGGCCCCTCTCGGGTCACCGCCTGCCCCCTGCTGCCCCCCCGCCCCGGCCTTCAGCCCCTGAGCGCGAGTCTGCGCGGGGCCCCCCTCGGCCCAGGGCGCAGGTCTCCCGGCCTCCCCCTCCGTGGGGGTCTCTCCGCGGCGGTGCTCCGTCGGCTTCCCCCTACTCGCCAAATCTCCGCGGGCGGCCCCCCCGGTGGCCGCCCTGGCTTCGTGCCCAGTGCCGCCTGGCGCTCGCCCAGCTGGGGCTGACGGCCTGCCCCCGGCTTCCCATGGCGCCCTTGCTTCTGGGTCTCTTGTGGCATTCCGCCCCCTGGCGCTGGGCCGCCCCCGGCGCCTCCGCCTCGGGCGGCCGCCCTGGGGGCTCTCGGCGCCCCCCCCCCCGTCTCCTGCTACGAGACCGCCAGGGCGCCCGATGAGTGTCGCTGCCGCTTCTGATCTGCGGCGCCTGCCCAGCCGCCTTGCCCCGCTCGAGGCGCTGCTCGGGCTCTCCTTTGCCGTGCGGTGGTCGGCCCCCCCCGCGGGCCCCCGTCTGCCCTCTGCGGCCCCGCCGTCCTGGCCTTGCCCCAGCGAGCGAGGCCGCAGGGGGCCCCCCTCGGCCCAAGTCGCTGGCCTCCGGGCTTCCTCCCCTGGGGGGCTTCCCTTCCGGCGGTTCTCCGTCAGTTCCCGCCGCTTGCCCAACTTGCGACCGTAAGTCGCTCCTCGTCGCCGCCGGTGCCTCGCGCCGAGCGTTCTGTTTGCGCGACTTGCCCTGCCCCGGCGTGCGAGGCCGCGGGGTAACCTTCTCGGCCCGACGCGGTGGGCCCCCCCCCCCCCCTGGGGGGTTCTCCTTCTGGTGGATCCCCCCCTCCTCGCGCGGGGTCGAGGGCGCCTGGCCCCCCCCCATCGCTGCCCCAATGCCTCCGAGACGTACCTCCTGCCACCTGGGCGCGTGCTGCTCGCGCCCGCCCTTTCGGCTTCCCCGCCCTTCGCCTGCCCTCCCCGGGGCCCTCTGGCCGTTCCCTCCCCGCGCGGGGTCCACGGACACCTGGTCCTCCCCCATCTCTGCGCCTCGCATTCCGCCTGCCGCCTGCCCCCCTCCCCGCTTGGGGTCGACGGACGCCCAGTCCTCCCTCTCGCTGCCCCTTACCTTGGGCCGTGCCTCCCGCCTCCCGGCGTCTGCCGGTCACACCTGCCTCTCCGGCTTCCCCGCCGTTCCCTGCCCTCCGGCCCTCTGGCCCTTCCCCCTCGCCATGCAGCATGAGCGGGACTCGTTTCCACCGCTGCCCCTCGGCACCACTCGGTGTCTGGCGATCCGGATCTCTCCGTTGAGCGCCCGCGTGTCCAGTCTTTCCTCCGTGTTGGGGGTCGCCGTCCTGCGTCCGCCTCCCTGGCTTTGTCCACGGCGTGCTGTTCGTCCTGCCGGCGGTCTTCTTCACCTGGGACGTGATTGGCCTCTTGAATTACCACCTGGTGTTGCACGCCGCCCGGAATTACCTCTTGGCGCTCGCGCTCCTCTGAGTGGCAGTGAGGCTCGCCTCCTGTTTGTCTCCCTCCTGCTCGTTCTTGTCCGCTTTTCGCCCTTCTTCCTCCTGTGCGCTAAATTCGGCCGCTGCTCGCTTGCAGTGCCCTGGGCGCCGCCCGACTTTCCGTCGCCGCGGTCGCGATCAACAAATCCCCACGCGCCCATCCACAAACAATTGCCAGGTGATTTCCTTGATGAGGGATGTGTAGCAGCACGCAGTCACCCTTTGGGGGTCTCCAGGGGGCATATTGGGGCATGCGTGGGGCCTTTCGGGAACTTTTGAGGGGGCGGAAAGGGGGGTCTGGAAGGGGGGGGGGGGGGGGAATGGGGATGAAGCGGGTGGTGGAGGGGGGGGAGGAAGGCAAAAGGGAGGCGGGGGGGAGGGGGAACGCAACCCCGAAGGGGAAGAAGGGGGCGAGGGGGATTGGCAGACCGAGCGCCTTAGACCACTCACGCCCAGAGGGCTGGTGCGATTCTGGTAGTCAGCCACTGTGACCCCCTTGTCCTGGGTGGTCTTGCTATCCGAAGCAGGCTTTTCGCCGCTGTCCCGCTTTGATGGATGCGCTCTGTTCGGGTGGTGAAGGCCTTGCGACCCGTGCCGCCGACCTGGAGGGGCGGTGACCACGACGACCAAAACGACACCGACAACGACGAACTGATGACCGTGCCACAGGCTCGGGACATGGCGCGGGAGGAGGAGGAGGAGGAGGAGGAGGAGGAGGAGGAGGAGGAGGAGGAG